TGCTCAAGTCTCAGGATGAATCCTGGCTGCTACATGCAGACGCTGAAATGCTGTGGGTGGTAAGTGACAAACTCTTTTAATCCTGCAAATCTACTAAAATTCCCAGTCAAATCTCTCCAATCTTCCCCTGGTGACTCTGATATTTGTACATTTGTTTTGCAGCACACACAGGGCCAAGCACTGCTACAGTACAGATGTGAGAGGCAGCATCACGTGAGCCAGCATGTCCTAGGGGCAGCCAAAAGAGCTGATGGAGGGAAATAACCCACTCACCCATCACATCCATCCTCTGGAAACCTCTCACAGTCTTTCTGCTTTGCTTAATTTCTTTTTCTTTCCTTTTTTTTTCCCTTTAGTAATTCCTCATGGGTATTTTTCCCCCGAGACCCACTGCTACAAGCCCAGAACTTGCTCTGGGCTTACCATAAGCATTCAAAGCACAGACAATAAAGAAACATCATTGGCATCAGGACTGAGCCCTTCTGCTCAGCATTGGAGAAGAAAGAGCATTAAATGGGAGCGGAGCCACAACATGGAAAAAAAAAAATCTCATTTATGGATGGAGGAAACTTGGCATGTAACACTAGGGGTTAAACTGCAATAAAATGCAGTTTAAAAATAAAAATAGAAAGCATTAGCTAAAAGTTCCTGGAAGTAACAGGACTATGTCTCCAGAACCATAAACCGACACCAGGGCACACCTTTACCTCCAGCACGTTTTGCACCACTAAAACAAGTCATCACAAAAGTATCTCCCTTCCAACTGCAGAAACAGGTTCACTTGTCCCAAGCATAAGCCATAGGTAGGGCTCTGGTGACAACACAGATATTGTACAGGCACAAGAAAAACCAACAGCAAATCCACGTGTTTAAGGTCTGCCTTGGTGTTTTGAACTGAGACTCACAATCTGCATCCAAACAGTGGCATTGCCCAGGAAATACCTTGGTGACAACTTTGGTGCCACCTTATTTAAACCTTAATTTAAAATGCTAACTTCATAATGAGTGGAACAAAACTGTGTAAAAACATTTCCCACTCTAATCCTGGTTTGATCCCCCCCAGTATGGCCTTCTTTTGTAATTACATCCCTTTGTGATCTCACTCTAATGCCTTGTATTGTGACCCATAAAATAATCAGCCCCCTTTGTCTCTCCCTAATCCTTTTAGACTTCCTTCTTGTCTCTACACTCTTATAAATGCTGCCATTATTTGGGCTCAGCAGCTCTTCCCACCACCCCAGAGCCTGGAAAGGGGGCTGCAGGTTAAACCCTGAATATATTCTGTGCAGAGGAGCTGAAACGATGGGAAGATCTTTGCTGCTTTAACAACGCTGTGATTCCCAACCTCCTCTCTTAGCCAGGCAGCTTGGCAGGAAAAGCTTCCTGAGTTATTATCAGGTACCACAGTACTTCAAATACTGGGCAGGTCCATTTCACCAAACTTCAAGAAACCTCTTTGGCTCTAAATTGCACCATCGACTTACTCCCCCCTCTCCTTTTTTTGTTGATTTTTTTTTTTTTTTAAAGCATCAGATCAAACAGGGAAAATTGCTACTCTCAGGCTGGGTACGTGCAGAGCCTGATCTGATACCCAGTTTGATGGTGATTTCCAATTAGTGGTAACTGCTTGTTATTGAGTGATATAATCAATGGGTCTTACTCCACCGGCTGGGCTGTGATTTATGATGATGTGGAGCCAGGTCCATCAAATTACAGCATCGGCAAAAAGGGCTGGAAATGCCATGAGACAACACGATCAGAGTCAAGTCAGGCCAAGTTAAGCAAAGGGTGGTGATGAGAAGAAAGGTGGCTGTGTTTTGGGGAGCCCACCTTCCAGAGGAGTGGACTCTGGATGGTACTACTGCCCACAGGGTATCTCCATCCACAGGGAGCAAAGGCATGCTCAGCTTCTGACATGCACAAGGGAAATCCAGCTCCTCAGAGAGACCCACGACGACACAGCCAAGCAGTGCCTCCAGAGAACACTCTGCCTATGAAACTGATTTTAATTAAGACAGCTCGGAGTCATGCGAAATTATGAAACTGTCATTAGGAGACAGAAAAGATCTGTATTCAATAACCTGATCAGATTATAAAAACATATTGCATTCCACAACCTTTTAAACTAACACACCAGGGTTTGAACAGACACAGAAACAGCAACTGAAAGAATTCCAACTGGGGTGTCAGGCAGAGGGTGGAAATGCCGAGGGCCTCCCTCAGCTCAATCACGCGTAGGCTTCTTACACACTCGTGCTTGTTCAAAAGAAGGTTACACTACAAAAATATTATCAGTGTGTTTAGCACCTGACCTGCCAACCCACAAACCAGCCAAGGTCCATTTCCCTCCTCTGAGTATCTTCCATTAACAATGACGACATACAGAAATACCCCTGAATTTTAATTAAATTAATTTAATGAGTCAATTTTTAAGGAGGAAGGTTTTAAGAAGCGCCCACCCTGTGGGGAAACTGCCGGCACCTTGAGCCCACCAGGGCCGCACGCGCAGCGGCTGAGAGCAGCATACTCTTCCAGTTAAATTTTACTCAATGCCAAGCGTTGAAGTAAATTTGAAACATAAAAATATGATATCCAGCCCACATTTCCTGAATGCAAATATGTACATTCCTCCGAGCCAAGAAGATTATATTCCAAGCAATAATACAAAGCCAGGGTCTGTAACGGTGATATGAGACTAACAGCCTGCCTTTGAAGACAGCGAAAAGTGCAACAGAGCTCTCGAGGGGCTCTGCTCTGTCAGATCTCTTTTATTCCTCAGTAGCACGGCCTTGATCAACTTTCAAGATTTTTGTTTGTGAAAGGTTTTTATTTCTCCTTTGCTTTTGTGTTCAGATGTCAGGCTCAGAGGGAAGGTGAGATCAGCACTGGGATGAGGTTTTACCCACTGGCAGTATTTACTCTGCTCCGCCAAGGTCTGCTTAGCGCTAGGGATTTTTCCCCTCCCAGGCAGCCAGCACCCATTCCTTCCATGCAGTGGTCCCATCATCTCTCAAATGGGGATAATTACCCTTCTCTTCTGACTGGCTTACTGGGACTTGGGGCAAGGAAAACCACTGTCGCTTGTGTGTAACCACCGTGAGACACGGGGGCTCGGGGTACAACTAAGATTCATTCTTAGGAGATTTCATCTACGATTAAGCCGAGTCCTGAATGTAAGTGCATGTTCCTTCGGCTCAGGCACAGCAGGGGAGCTCGCCCTGAGCAGCAGGTTACATTTGCCCACAACATCCTGTTTCATTCCCATTATCTGCAGGCACCTGTGGCATCAAGGCCAGGGGCCCCCTGTTTTGTGCTAGCTTCACCCAGACCTCTTCTGAAGGCTGGCAAGCAACCAAGCCCGAAGCAAGAAGAGAGTCCAGAGCATTTTCAACACAATCCCTTTTTCATTTTGATTCACGTGAAACTATGGCTACAAAAGGAAACACTATTCAGGGACACACAGCACATCACATACATATTGATGCAGGAGCTGAGATAACAGTGTTTATTGACAATCCACAATCCCAAAGGTAATTCCTCTGGCTCTCACATCTCCTGTTTACAGGTCCAAGAAGTTTGACATTGTGCTTGTGTGTCAGCTGGCTTCCAGCTTATAAATGCCAGAGCCATTCACCAAAAGTGCTCCAAGGTTTAGCACCACAAGACTGACAAGTTTGAGATCCAGCTGCTAATCTGGCACAGACCCAAAGCCCTTGGCTCCTGGACAATGTCACTTCTTACACTCCTGAAAAGCTAGGTTTGCAGATGGCCACTTCACGCACTCGGGGATTGTTATACACAAGGGCTGAAGTGTTCCCTTGGTGGGCTGCCAGCCGGCCCCAGCGCTGTGGGGAGCGGGCGGCCGCGCTCCGAAAGGCCCCCCGGTTTGGGGAGTGCAGATGGGGGACCTCGGCCCCAGACTTTGCTGTAGACCTTTCCAGCTTTGCACAAAAAAGTCATGGTGTGATTTGTGAACGCAACAGAAGCAGTGGTAAGTGGCTTGCACTGAAAGAAGAGCAGTAGCCATCTCCCACGCAAGTCGGAAAACCTGCAGTAGAACTTACTTAACAAACCAGTGTTTGGACAGGGCTCAGGGCTGTACCAGACACCTGTCCTCACATTCACATAGAAATTACACCCAGCAGCAACTCCTGGTTGAATGCAAAAAGATCAGTGGCTGCACCCCCGGGGCCTACAGTCCGTGGGCAAAGCTGGCCACCAACACAACAGGGACAGAAACCACCATGACCCTCCAGCTCCGCTATCAGTCCTGGGATAAACACAAACCAGCAACCAGAGCCGGCAGGGCAGAACCAGGAAACCCAACAGGACGCAACCGCTCCAGCCAGGGCAATGTAAGGGGCTAAGCTGGGTAGTGTGCAGGGCTGGAGTCACAGCCTGCCCTGGAATTCTTCCTCCCCCACCTTTAAATTTCATTCCCTCACTGACATTTTCATCTGTCTCCTCCTCCGGGCTCCCCCACCAGACAATCTGTCTGGTGTTGTTAGCCTTGCCCCCAAAGGCGCTGCCACGTCGGGTAGTAAATAAGACCTTGCTGCCTCCACACTGCCAGCATTAAATAACAAAATGAAAGACACCATGACCTTCAGAAGGTCTTTGCCTATGATTTGGGAAGCACTGCCTGCCAAGCAGAGCCCAGCTGTGCTGCACAGCAAAGGGTTTCCAAACTCACCACAGGAGATACACAAACCACAGACGACTTCACTGTGTGAGTTTAGAGTACCTTATCCCTCCGACACAGGGAATTTACTGCTGGAAGGTGGTTTTTAGCTTTCTACCCAAGAAAGCTGATTAGCTCTTCTTTCACACTTGGACAGCTACACAGATTAGATACCAGCCAGACATCCATACCAGCTCCATGTTCATTTTCTCTTCCCTGTCTTTAATGCTCCCTCCCTCCCTGAACACCCAGCACCCACCACGCTGCCCTCCTGCTTCCCAACAAAGCCAGTGCCCCTTGTGGGATTGCTTGCACTTACTCGCTGCCTGGATCTTGGCCTTCCGGCTCACGACCAGCCCGTAGTGGTTCTGTGCCATGCAATCGTACTCGCCCTCGTCCGAAGAGCCGTCTCCCCGGACCCTCTGGAAGCGGGAGACGTAGAGCGACCCGTTGGCCAACATGAAGGCATTCTCACTGTCCACGATCATCGCGCCGTTCTTCCTCCATGTGATGGTGATGGGCTGGATGCCCTCCACCTGGCAGTACAGGATCAAGGGTTGCTCCTGCACGGCTATGTCATCGCTGGGCTCCACAACGAATGCCAGCTCGGAGGAACGGCCAAAATCTGAAGTGAAGAGAGAACAACAGAGTCAGCAGCGCGACCATGAGGAGCAGCAAGAGTCAACTGCTACTGCAGCAAATGGAGGATGATGGAAACATTTTGGATGGGCTACAGGGTGCAAGTGTTTAGGAGAAACAACAAACCCTTGGGCATGCTGTGCCTCCCAAGGCTTTGCTCTCAAAATCTCGGGTGCAATTTCCAAAGGCGTAACCACAAGCATGGTCCTTCGAGGTTGCCTTTGGAGGCTCCAGTGAAGGGGATGGCCAGGCACACCCCTCCAGTGGCTTGCCAAACCCCAGTCCCACTCCATAGTCCCCCCCCGGAAATTGTCTCTTGCACAAAAAGAATTGCACAAGCACAGAGTGTCAGCCATTCCCAGCCCAGGAGCAGAAGTTCACACCAGTTCTGGAAATCCATCCCTCTCCCCACGCGACCGGGCGGAGTGGGGCTGCGCCGTGCCCCAGACCCGTTTGCAGCACAGCCGGCGGGGGTGAAGGGGGATCGGCATCTCCCGATTCAGACCATATTGCCACCGGCATCTTCCCGACACTTCTCCCGCTTGGCAGAGCAGGAGGCTGTTAGCCTCTCGCACACAACACCATGCCCTTCTGTCGCTTTGGTCTCTCTCACGCTGTAACAGCCGAAGGATGGTGCTATTCAGCCCTTAATGAAGAGCAAGTTAAGCACCGAAATACAAATGCACAATGTTCTGGCTCAGCCACACAAAAGGTTTCTTGCAAAGCAATTACGCTAAACGATGTCCGCGAGAGATAAGTTACTGCAGAATTTGTAACAACAATAGGCAAACCCTCGCTTCCCATCACACAGATACGTCCTAATTTACTTCTTTTGCCAACAGAACGTTTAAACGCTGTCTCTTTGGCATGTTATGCTTCACTTGGTCCAGTACACCTTTTGAGGGTATAATTTGCCCTATAGTCATGATCAGACGCTACAGAAGATGACAGAAATAGAGCTATTGCTTAAAGATTGGCCCAAAATATCGGCTGACATGAGAGATAAAAAGCAACCAAGAAACAGCAGTCACAGAGATATCTGAAGGGTGTAAACGCAGGATGGAGGCAATTCTTTTTAAAGGAGAGCAGAGTAAGAAAACTACAATTTCATCTGAGTGTGGAGAAAGCCTTTCTAACAGTTCACTTGGGCATCAGCCCCTCCATGGGTGGTTTCCCAACCTGGGATACAGCTTCTCCCCTCTTTCATGGGCTCCAGGGGACCAACTCCACAGCTGCTCACAGAATTGGGACTCACAAGGCAATATCTCTTGGCAAACATCAGCCACGGCACAGTCTTTGTAATGCCTGTCCTTCATACAGACCCCACCAAGGACAGGATCCCCCACACTAGGCTCAAAACCAGGGTGGAGGGCAGACTGTTAATGCATGGTAAGAATAACAGAGATGAGAAGAGGCAGTTACACTAAAGAAAGAGAAGGGAAAAAAAGTCTGTCTTTTCTGCTCTGCAAAACCAGTGAGATTTTTTTTCTTTCTTTCTGTAAATCCCCATTGCTTTCTACAGCAACTTAAATTGGATTACGGGGGATAAACATTGAGTGCAACCTGAGCTGAGGCAGATGGACTGAGCAGACAAAGGCAGCAGTGGTAGTACAGGGCAGGCCAAAGGTACTGCCAACAAGGTATGAGCGTGTGAAGGGAATGGACAAACCCTACTTAGTGACAGACACCTAAAACACACACTTTATTAACCCATTAAGTCTTAAAATGTCAGGCTAGCTCCAGCCATCTCGGTGATCTATCGCTCACTGTGACTTCTTTTTTATGAGATAGCCCTGGGGTCCTCTCAGCAAGTCAGACTGCAGCCAGCACAAACCCATCAATTACTCTTTTTTTTGGTGAAAATTAAGAAATTAGTTGAATGCTCTGCATTTTTCTGCAAAGTGGCCAGAGTCTCAACACCATGCAGGGGCCCCATTCCCTGTGTGGGTGCTCCTGGCAGTTAGGCAGGATAAGGACCCTCACATTCTGACACTGAACCGAAGGGGACTTCTGACTCCAGAAAGATTGAAAATTTCAGGATTTAGCCTAACAGGCAATCAGAAAAAATCCCTAATGAAATAAATGCCCCATCTTCCCCCTGTACTCTTAAGATAAAACAGCTTATTATTATATGTACAATAAAAGGAAGAATCAACATAATTACATGCCCTTCCCACAACTGCTGTCATTATAACAACCATCATTAAGGTCTGTGATTGGAGATAATCATGTTTACCTCCATAAACATTCGGTCTGCATCCTCACTCCAGGCTGCTGGAGCTGCAGGAGTGATGGCACTCATAATTAGGACTGGTGTCCTCAGGCACATGCCGGAGTGGGGACGGACACGGGCTGGTCCTGGGATCTCCTCAGGCTGTATTTGGGACCGGAACTGTGCCTTGAGGTGTGACAACGTGCAACTGGTTTGTAATCTGTAGACACTGTGCAGTGTCCAGGAGCACCCAAATTCCACCTCAATTTATGCTTTTCTCATGGAATGCTTATTAGACCTTGAAGAAATCCCACTGACTCTTTCCTGGGGCTTCAGGGACAGTTGACCAACTAACCAGACACACGGAAAAGCAAGCCCATCCCATCTGGGGATTTGGGAGAAGCCAACCTTTGTCTTTCACCTGTCACAAAGGTGGACTCAGAACACAGAGCACTGCCTTCCTGGGATGCTCATGATGAGAGATAAAGGGACAGAGACACTCACAGAGGAATCTCCATGGTAAGACAAGAAGGTTCCTGGTGTTTGCTCTAGAGACCAGCTCAGATGGGCCAGAGAGAGAGCACAGGCAGAGCAAGGAGGCAGTGGAGCAAGGAGAGAGAGGGACCCAACTCAGTCAGCATAAATAACTGATTGCAGTCAGCAACAGGGCACAGCAACAATGCTGCAAAGTTGGAAGTAAACGGCAGTCTGCAAGCACATGGAGACAGTAAAAGTGCAATTAATTGAGACAGTGAGGAAATCGCCAAGGCCGTGCACACTCAGGGAGTTTGAAAGCCCCATCCATCTCCAACAGCTGGCTTCGTATCCAAACCCAGCTCATCCCACACACCATCCCAGGTAACTCCCGAAAGGATCTGTGAGGCAGCGTGGCTCCCAGCCACTCCCTGCTCGAGGCACAAACTGTGAGCTCTGCAGTACAGTGGCAGGGTCTGCAGTCAGAGCAGGGGTGTCAGGCAGGCAGCTGAACAACCCCGCTCGTCTCCACACCGGCAGCACGCGAGGGAAAACCGCTTTGCTTTCTGCAAAGGGGTGGAGGAAGGAAGTCTGATTAGCTCTGACATAAAGGCCATAAGAAAATTACTGGAGTTCTCACTCTACAAGTCTCCTTTTGAGAAACATTTACCATCTCCCTGAGCAATACAATATGTGACTATATGTGCAAATATTTAACAAAAACTACTTCCCCTATTGATCAAGCAGACAGGCATACTCAGAGAAACCAATTAGCACTTGTGCTTTTGAACCAAGAGATTTATTTAGTGCTGAGAGAAAGAACTTCGAATTAATGGGAAGCTTAAAAGACACTTTGAAGTACATTTAAAAAAAAAATAAGTTTAATTATTTTTTACTTGACACTGTGATTCACATTCAACGCTTCAAAAGAACTTGCTCATACCCTAGCATTGTCCTTTTCGATTTGGGAAACACGATTTTGGCTTTCCCTCCTGTGCCTCAGCAGCTAATCTCACTGCTCTAATTAGCGGTGACATCCACTGCCAAGGACCTCAGTCACATCCTGGCTCATCCTCCTGGACCCCATCCAGACCTGCAGCCAGCAGGGCCATCCCTGCCCCGGGAGCACACGGTCCCGACAGATGAAGCCCGTATTATTACTCCTGTTCTAGACAGGGAACATTAATCACAGAGAGATGAAATGAGCTGCCAAGAGCCGGGGCTGAGCTCGTGGCAAGGCGAGATATTGCAGGAGCAGTTGAGTCCACCCTGCTCTTCCTGGCACTGCATCATCAGGAGCACTGGTGGGGAGACCAAGGTAGCCCCAGCTCCTCTCTCATCATACCAACAGCACGACATCCACCTGCAAACTGCCTTTCACGAGCAGAAATTTGCCCCCTCCTGATTTACTCTGTTTGTTCCCAGCATAACACAGCACACACCAGCAGCATTACCACCCCCATGGATAACCACTCCAGTCCTGCTTCAATAAAGCCAAAAGAAAATGCCCAGGACAAGAAGATTTTATAGTGGGATGCAGGTTAGTATTAGGGCCAAAAACCTGGGTACAGTTTGGGCCAGCCCTATGAAAAATGGCTCCTGTTTTTTTCAGCGGTGGGTTGTTTTTTATTCAAATCCTTCTGCAGATGGGAGGATACGGAAGCAAGAGATATATGGACCTGAAAGATGTTCTCCAACAGATTATAACAAGGTTCAGGTTGATGAAATTGGCAGCCTAAAAATCCAGCTGGTGCGCTCTTAAATCTCCTTGAGGCTGACCCAGACCCTAAGCAGAAAAGCACCGCACTGTAGTAAAGTGCAAATTGGCTCTTTAGGGCATCCAGAAAAATTTACATTTAAAGAAGAGGAGAATAGGCTGTAACAGGCCCCACATCTTGCTGGCAGTAAAGTTTACTAGCTCAGAATTTTTTATTCCCTTTCCTTTAGGACAGGAGGTTATATAAAGCGATTTTTCCATCAGGGAGTATAAACCACATCCACTCGTTAAGCGATTGCAGGAGGTCTCTGTCGGGGACAACACAACCTCTCAGCCACCTCATGCAGAACTCAGAAACATCCAGGATCACTGCCCTCAGTGGGGACACAGATTTTAGCTGAGGAAGGTAAGCGCAGCCCAAAGAGCTGGAGAAGTTGCCCCAAATAATTTTCATATGTTTGAGACCAGACTGGGCAAATCCCAGGAGGTCACTTGTTGAACGCTGTGGAAGCTGGAAGCGTTCACAGCACAAAGAGCCTTTCCAGGGCGAGCTCTGAGCCCTTGCGGGCTCCCCCATCCTGATGAAGGCAGGATAAAACCTGTTGGTATAGCTGGAAAGGGCAAAGACCTTTCCTGAGCTAATTACCCACGGTAGCTCCATCCACAGCGAGGATCTCGAGAGCATGGCAGCAAGCCGAGCGTAGGATGCGCTGTTATTTGCATTCCCCACGTGTTTCACAGCCCTGACCAGATCACAGCTTCACCACAGAGGGCATCAGCGACACAAACACGGAGCAGAAACCGTGCAGCAAAGGAGAGCACAGCAAAGGCAGCGGCCAAGATGGGAAATGCTGTGCCAGAGCCGGGGTCCCCATAGGCTTCAGCCCCCGAGGCTGCTCTAATGCAGAACGGGACAACAGCCAGTTCCATTCCCTGACCCCGCAGGAAAGCATCAGGGAGGTAGGTGGCTGTCCCCACAGCCAGCCCCTTGCACAGACCCAGCAGGGGATGGACTGGCCACACGGTGGGTGATGGTGCCTGTGGATCAGAGACATGGTGGCTGGGAGGATGGCACAAGGCTGCCAAAAGAGCCACAGGCAACCTGGCATCACAGGCAACCTGGCCAAACCACAGCCCCTGAACTTCAGCTTGAGTCCCTCCATTCAGGCAGGACTGGGTGGCATGCAAAGAAAAGGAAGGAAAGGTGTTTCTGGAGGAGGAGCAGTTTCTGTACACATCAAAACATTTGAAACTCTTAATTGAGTCCAGCAAACAAAATTATATCAAAGCAAACCCAGCGCTCCCTCCTCTCTGCCATCCCCTCTGCCTTATCACCTCCCACACTGAAATTAAGGATGCAGGAAAGCATCGCCTCGCTCCTCCCAAGGAGCAGAGCACTGCACCGATCCCTGCCCACTCCAAATCCAGCGCCTTGAAACACGAGCTCTTCTCTCCCTTTTCACTGTGCTCTCAGGTTTCAGCAGCAACGATCCTTTTGCAAAAGCATCTCCCCAACCCAGCAGAACCACCCGCCACAACCCGCATCCCCTGACTCGCCATCAGCTTCATAATCACATGTGCAAGAACAACAAAAAAAGCCAGGCAGCAAATCCTTGACTCTGCTCTGAAACTCTGGTTTTAAATTACCTGCGTGGAGCAGGTCTGGGTTGTTAAAGTGACTGGGCTGCTCTCAAGTGGAGGGTGCGATACAACGGTGACACCCGATATAACAGCAAGGCCAGATCAGTGTGCTCTGTGCTTTCCTCATCTCTCACCTATTTCCCTCTCTCTTCTCTTAAACTGTAATTATTGACATGGTCACCTCCTTAACCATCAGTTTTATATGCTTGCCAATGACTCCTGAACATGTGTAAACAATTATTTTTATTTTCTTGCAAAACCAAAATGTTGGATATTCTTTTGGATAAGCGGACTCGGGTAGATTTTCATGAGCCCTGCTACATAATTTATTAGTTTCTAAACTCTGTAAAACTAAAACCTCCGGTAAAGTTCAAATAAGTTTGTGATTTCAAAGTAATTTTGAATGGACTATTCCTCTTCCTGCCTAATGTTATTCGGTTGATTTAAATGGGAATTCTTAAACTGCAGAAGGGGATTCCTGCATTGTTTTGTCAGACAAATAAAAGGACAATATCCAGGGTCAGAAGCCCAGGAGTGCAAAGCATGAAATACAGTGGGGAAAAAATATCTTCTGTCCCAGATCTGGTGCAGGTTGCAAAATGAAGCACATGGTCTGCTCATCCCATGGGTTTGGAGCAGAGTCCCAGGGTTTGTGAAGCAAGGGGCTGGCATTGCATGGGATCACTGCTTAGCACTTCACACACTGTGACACAGGACCCTCCAGAAACAAGGGAATCGGAGAAAGAAAAAGTTCAGGCAGACGGAAAAGAGGGAGAAAAACCTTTCCATTTGCAGACATAAATGAGAGCAGTTTTGCAGCTCTCTGCTGGGCAGTGCTGCTGCTGAGCTGCTCCTTACTGGCCCATGCCAGGTAGACAGCACGTGGGCCAAAACTGAGAATGAGCAGGATGGAGAGGAACAGGGAATTGGGTTGTAATCCTGGATCTGAGACCCTCTGCCAGCTTCTAAGAAAGCATAGGAGCTTGACCTGTGCAAGGTCCAGAGCCTGATAAGTAATAAGAAAAGGTGCAATTATACGAGTTTAGGATTTCTACGCCCTGTGGGAGGAGTGGCAGGGCAGATGAGGAGGGGACCGACCTGCCCTGTTGTCCTCTCTCTCACTTTGCTTTATAAACTTCCAAAGTTTAATTATGGCACCCTGATGGTCCCAGCAGGCATCTCAGTGCCACAGGCACAGCTGGCTGCATACTCACACCCATCAGCTTCGTCCCCAGCACAGGTCCCAAACATGGTACACGAGGACACGGCTGTGAGACACCCACCCCATTTCACAGCCTGCTGCTGCCTCCACCACGTGGGAAAACCACGTCCCAAGATTCTCCTGTTGAGCCCCCCAAGAGAGATGAAGCCCAAATGTGGGCTTGAATTTCATACAGTCTCTGAGTGTTATTGGGGAAATGATACCTGATACTCTCTGTGTATATTAAGAAAAAAGACAGGGTATTACACCAATTTAGGAGAAAGCAATCCTTTTTTTACATCTGGAAAAAAAAGAAAAAAAAACACCAACAAAGCCATACAGAGCAGAAATTAGTGAAAGCTTATAGCTTCAATAATTTAGAAGTTAAGCCTACTTAAATATAAATGACGATGTTTAATTCCAAGGCTGTTACTGAGCAGAGCCGGGGAGCCTCTCGTATCCTATGCCTGCCTTTGAATGCCGGGCTCAGCAATAACAGACAAAAGCTGTCCACTACCCAGAACAAAGAGCTCCAGGAAATTAAAAAAAAAAAAAAAAAAAAAAAAAAAAAAAAAAAAAAAAAAAAAAAAAAAAAAAAAAAAAAAAAAAAAAAAAAAAGAAAGAAAATACTGTCTCGCTGCTGAGCCCACTCCACGCTGGCCAGCAGCTCCCAGCGCCTCGTTCATAGTTGCCAGACCAGCATTTCGGGGAGTTTGAAAACCTCGGGGCTGGCAGCGGAGCATCGTGTCCCGCACAGCTCCGACACACGGTCCGTCCCCGCGGCGAGGCTGCTCCGCGCTCGCTGACACCGGCACGGCAGGGTTTGTTAAATTCAGCGGAGCGCAGAAACGCGTTACCTCGCTGTTGACCACAGAGAGCGACTAAACCCTCCGAAGGGGGAAAAAAAACTCAGAACAGAGAAACTTTGAAAGTGCTGCCAAACGCTCCTCAGCGGGGCCAGCAAAACACACCCCAAAGTCAGGAGCCACTGACCCGCCAAGGCGCAGCATAAACAAACACACAGAGCAATTTGGACAGCAGCAGGCGATAACCCAGACACGAACTCAACTTGCTAAAGTTTTGCTTTCAAGTATTCACTTCTTTTACTTTCCTCCCTCCCTCCAAACAGAAAAAAAAAAGTACTTTTTCAGCCATCCTCATTGCACTATCCAGGAATCTCAACAGAATAACGAGACCTGCTTCATTACATCCACTTCACAGATCACGTCTATTTTCTGCGAGTTACACTGGCTTCTCCTCCTCGCCGTGGCTGCTACGGACCACGTGGCGAGATTTATGATGGGACTTAGCCCACAGCCTTGTTTCCTAAACACCCCAGCAGCTATCTCTGATAAATCTAACACGCACTTTTTTCTCTCTGATCATGCTGGGTCAGACCATGCTTGCAGGGTTTTCTTTTTAAACAGCTCATAGAATAATCACAGAATGGTTTGAGTTGGAAGAGACTTTAAGGACCATCTTGCTCCAACCGCTCTGCCATGGGCAGGGACACCTTCCACGTTGCTCAGTTCCTACTTTTCCTTATCTTTAAGGCTGCTAAGCGAGACAAGAGCAGGATGCACACGGGTATTTTGCTGCAGAACAGCATCTTTCTCAGATTAGCCCCACGCTTAAACAGTATCACCAGTAGAAGGAATATATTGCCATTTATCAGCAGGGCACGTGCACAGGAGGTGCCCGGAAAGCTCCCTTTGATGTTTTGTCGTCTAGCCCTGGTCCGATGGACTGTGTTACCGGAGCGGACAGAGCTGAGCGTTACAGGAGAGCACAATATACTCGTAGGTTTGAAGTTGCTCGCCCTCATCCCTGCAACTTGTCACCCAACATCTCTGTCTCATCTCCTTTCCTGACGAACGCGACGCGCCCGCCGGGCGCTGCCTCCCGCTCCCATCGCCGTGACGAACCCGGCTCTGCCCTCCCGGCACGGGTGGATGCCCCGCCACGCCACTGCCCCGGCAGCCACCCCATCCCTCCCCAGCGCCAGCGGCGGGGGCTCGGGCTCCACAAACTCCACCATCCCTCCCCAGAGCCCCCCGCACACGGGGTTTCCAACTGGAAGCACCGCTCCGGGGGGAGCACCTCGGGACCTCCGCCGATGAAGGCGCTGGATGGGCTGGTGTGGGACTCTGTAGCCCCAAGATACGACCCCCACTGCCCCGCGGGGACCCCCGCGCCTCACGGGCGGACACCGCGCAGCTGCTCGGCCCCGGTGCCGCGGGGCTGCCGGTGACCGCGGGCGAGCGAGGGGGACCGGCAGCGGCAGCGGGGATGGGGAGGGACAAGGGGAGCGCGGACGAGCACTGCCCCGGCCACCTCGGGGGTGACGAGGGGACGCGAAGTGCGGGAGCGACCGACGGACGGAGCGGCCGCGGGGCGGGAGCGGCGCCGGGCGCGGCGGCAGGTCCGCGGTCCGTGTCCGCGCCCCCGCCCGCTCCCCCAGCCCGGCCCGGCTCTTACCTCCGCGGCACACGAGCAGCAGCAGCCCCAGCAGGCAGGCGGGCAGCGCGGAGCCCGGCGGAGCCATGGCATCCCGGGCGGGCGGGCTCGCCTCCCTGCGCCCCACGGGGAGGGAGCAGCCCGCCGGCAGGGAGGGAGGGGAGGAGGGAGGGCGGGCAGGCGAGAACCACCCCCAGCTGCGGGGCGGGAGGGGTGAGGGAGGGGGAAAAGGAAAGGGGAAAAAAAGGGGAAAAGCGGCTCTCGGCGGTGCTGCCCTCGGCGCGAACACGCCGCCGCGCCGGGCGGGCGGGGGGCGGCGCTGAGGGAGCGGGGCCGCCGGCGGGCGGGGGGCGGGCGGGCAGCGCCTTGCGCCATCTTGCGCATTCGCCGGGGCGCCGCCAGCGCCGGCCGGGCTGAGGGGACGAGGGGCTGCGGGGCCGGGGGGCGGCCCCCGTGAGGGGCCGCTCCGCGCCCAGGACCTGCGGGGAACCTGCAGGGAACCTGCAGGGACCCTCAGGGGTCTCCCGTCACCGGAGCCCCCTCACGGCTCTCCCCTCAGTGGTTCCACCTCACGGGGCTCCCATCACAGAGCTCTCAGACCCCCTTCACGGCTCTCCCCTCAGTGGTTCCGCCTCACGGGGTTCCCTTCACAGAGCTCTTCTCACTAGTGCTACCTGACGGGTCTCCCCCTCACGGATCTCCCGTCCCTGGGGCAGCCCCACAGGTCTCCCCTCACCGGAGCCCCCTCATGAGTCTCCCCTCACAGGTCTCCCTCACTGGGGACCCCTCACGCTTCTCCCCTCACAGGACCCGTCTCATCAGAGCCCCCTCGAGGGCCTCCCCTCACCAGTTCCGCTCTCCGGGGCTCCCTTCACAGGGCTCCCCTCACTGGGGCAAGCTCGCAGGAACGAAGAAGTGCTTGGCTTGTCCCACCTCACTGCTCCTGATTTTAACGCTATCCTAAGGTGACTTACCTGGGTCGCTCGAGCAGATGTTGGACCAGCCTGCTCACCCTGGAAGAGGCCCCAGTGAAGAAGGACCCAGTAAGGGATGAGTGGCTCCTAAATGCTGCCACAGCAGGATAATTTGTCTGCTCTCCTGGCATGAAATGAGAATAATGTGTCCCTATATAGCTCTCGGCCCCAGCGCCCACACAATATTTTGTGCCTTCCAACTGATCCTGCCCTGTCCCTTGGCCCACATTCTCCACAAACATAACTCCCATCATCACTGTCAGCAGCAAAAGCCATCTCTGCAAGGACAGCTCAGTGTCTCTTGTGGTGTTTGCTTGGCGAGAAAACAACTAAGAAGAAATAAAAGTGGACCCTAAATAATTTCTTTTTTCAGACTAAAATCAGATCTTGATGGACTGTTCTAAACCATGTAACCATTCCCAGAAATCTGGTGAAAACCCCTTTGTGAAGAGGAGCAATGTTAGGCTCCCCTGGATGGTGCACCCTGAGCGTGTCGGAATCAGCTAACGAGGAAGGAAGACGTCACTACATCTGCTCCACATTAAAGCTTCCCTCGTTTAGTGGAGGGCTGAGCTGTACGAGGTTGCTTTCAGCTGGGGAAGTATTTGCTCTGGCTCCGCCAGCCTCTCGGTAACATCTGAATTTCTGCGCTGTCCCTGACCTTTTGGCACTAGCCGTGCTCTTGCTCCGACTCCCTGGCTCCTGCCATGGGGCCCCACCAGCATTTTTATAATGCTCACAGCCATCGTGGGCTTGTGGCAGCTTCCAGGACGCCACTGTCACTGAGGATAGCTTGTGGGAATTAATAATTCCAAGAGAAATAAAGCACCATGTGCTTCACAGAGCTGTTTTCCCCAGAAACCACAGATTTTGGGTGCTTTTGCTGCCGTGCGCGCTGGCAGGACCCAGGAGCTGGGGGAGGTAGGTACCTGTTTACGGCATCACCAAGTTCAGCCCTGCATCTGCAAATGACACTGCTGATAGTGCTGGTGGTACATTCAAAAATTGGAAGAGTGGGCAGTCCCCCCAAACAACAGGACTTGTGTGAAAAAAAATGAGATTTTTTAGGAAAAAGGCAGGTTTGGGGCTTTTGCAGCCAACTGAGAGCGGGAATTCAGAGCACTCGTTTTTCTATGCCCTGTAACCATGAGGGCTTAGAAAAGTTGCTTTGTATTGGAGGCAGGAATTTGCTTATCACACTGCAAGCAGAAATCGGAGCCTTTGGAAAAGCAGCAGGGTTATAGAAGTGACAGTGTCCAGCCTGAACTGAGGCTCCAAACCCTACCCTGCAGAGCAGTCCTAGGGTCTGTTCCTCTGTCCTCCCTCCTGCAGAGTGGCACAGGGTCTGCCGACCCATCTGTCCTCCCTCTACACGAGGTTATCCTCCAAGAGAGCTGCCCTCAGAGGGCATCACTCACCCCTCACTCCCTGCACAGCAAATTTCCATCAGCTCCAGTTGTGCTCCTGATTTACGCCAATTAACTGCAAACTGAGGTCCCCAAGACACCATTAGTAGTTTCAGCGGATGAAGTGGGAGATTAACTTGTCTGAATTCACTCCATTTATTATTCTATGTGTAATTGTGGTTTCCCTGCCTGCAAACAGCCTGGGAGCTTTTCACTTACATACGTACACACGGGGTTTTAGCATCTGTTTTGTGGTCAGCGAGCCATAGGGAGCAGGAGCCAAAATCATGGCACCCACCTCAAGGTACTGAGCCGAGAGCTGCGCCAGCAGTGGTGGGACAACCCTGGGACCTGCTTCTGGAAGCTGTATTCCCCAGCAGAAACTGTTTTCTGTGTGTCTATTGAGGACCCTGTTGAGTTGCCCATCACCCCCTCCCCCAAGGTGCTTCCTTGCTCGTTTGTGGGGTTACCTGGCATTAGGAGAAAGACTCATCAGAGTTACGCCATCTGACAGAGTTCCCTTTAACCACTATCAGAGAACACTGTGCTAAGCGCAGATTTATTACCTCTGTAATGCAGATAAAATGAGATTTTATGGCTCTGTAGTCCTGGCAGCGTAAAGTAATAATGGAAACTATCTACCGAAGTAGGGAATGCACCCCAGGAAGGAAGGGAGATGCACAGGAGGTTAACAGCATGTCCTCGGGCACTGCCAGATATCCTCTCGCCAATCTCCGTGGACAGAAGCCACTGAGCATTCAGCCCAGTGTGCCATCCAAGAGAAGTCTCACCACTCATTTGCTAGATGCCTCTGCTTATTTTTCCCGTTAAGAAATTCCACAGCAAGATGAAGCATGAAACTGGACAAATAATTTTTCTTTTTCCTTACAGGAATTGGTTCAAAACTGAGAAATGAGCAAGCATCCAGAAATGCCTAATGAACTCAAACTCTGCCCCTGTCTGAAATTCCAGAAGAACCCCTAAGAAACCAGGCATCCACTATCATCCCACATTCCCAGCCTTCATGGTGATGAGCTCAGGCACTGAACTGAGTGTGAATCCTGGATCCTGCTCCCACCACTGCTTCCCCCAGCAAGGTACAGCCTTGCACAGCTGTAACACTCTCAACTGTGAGACGAATTCCACTCTTTTTTTTAAAACATTTTATTAATAACCCATTAGTTAAGGAATATAAGGACAATGTCTTCTTACACTTTTAACACTAAAGAGTATTTGTGGAGTAAGAACAGTCTCTGAAGAAAGAAAGTTATAATAAAGTACAGCATGGAACCAAACACAGACACAACCTTCAAACAAGATCAAGTTCTGGTTATACATCCTTATGCACTGTGCAGAAAATTAAATGAAATTTAACTTGAAAATACAAGCAAGGGAGTAGAATAACAGAAATAGATGGTAGATTTCTGCTGGACTAAACACCGCTTTTCTAACAAAAGTATTGATTAGAAAAGACACAATGATCCCTTCAAAACATCTATTACTAATGAGACCAAAAACATATACAGTGCTCTAGTAAAATGGTTGTTTTCTTACACAGCATATTTCATGGGCTGATCTCAGGACTGTTAACTAGTAATGTAAAAAGATTCTCAAACCCTAAATTATAAGTTATCTCATTTGAACTATTTAAACCAGAACTTTGTTGTCTGTTAAGTAAGAAATCAAATCAATAAAAAGCTGATAGAGGGTTTTCTGAGTCATGTTTTTCATGTAACAAGGAAAGAAAAGAAATGAAAGGTTGAGAATTGTGACTCTCACAGCAGCATGGGGAATATACAGTTGTGTAGCCAAACAGTAACATTAATACTACAAAATTATGCCAGTGAGACAAACCTGACATTTTAACAATGTAAAACAATATACACCAGCAAAAAAGTTGAACAGCAATAATCTTTAGTGTTACTGAAAGGAAGAAAAGGGAGAAAGGAGCCTGGTGTGCAGGAAGAGATATTAAGCATGATGGGTAATTAAAGGTATCAACAGTTTGTGTGCCTGTGAGAAATCTGCAAGAAAGCTACTTATTCCATGATAAAAAAATATATGCACTGGTTGTTTCAGCTTTACACATCAAGTGTGTATTATGTGTCTTCTTCAATTCATTTCTAGCTGGGGCTGAAAGGTCCCCATGTGTTCTGGGCAGGAGAGACCTGGAGCACAGCTGAGTTGGACACGGACACCCAGCACTCCCTGCGGACAAGCGTTGGTCCAGGGACAGCTCCGCTGCTGCCGGCCAGGGCTGACCTCCTGGCTCCAGGGGAACGGCCTGGATTTCTGTAGCTCAGGTTTGGCGTATGAGCCCAAGGCCACCACAGTTCTTGGACATCCAAACGCTGCCAGTCTCACATCCTGGTACAATTTGGTGAGGTGTAATGAGACCAGAACAAGCCTCAGCATGAGGAGACAAAGTATTTTTGGGATGTGTAAGCAAAATTGTTTGTGCTCTCCTGCATCTCCCCCAAAGCTCTCGGGGCACATAGCTACTGTGGTGGTTTGGTGGTTGGCCCAAGGTGATCCAGGGGAACAGTGCCTGCCTTCAGTGACAGGCAGGGACAGCTCTCAGGCAGCTCAGCTCATGGCTGTGGGATTGCTAAAGTCAGTACAGACAAAGCAGAGGGTGCATGTAAAAGGGAGCTTCCCGAAAACTGTGGCACATTTCTATATCAGCCACTGGACTAAGCCTCCATCCCCTTCCATCCCGTGGATGGAAAGCTCAGGGCCGGTCCATGACCTGCCCCAGGTACT